CCAGACATTTTGGACTTTTTTTTTTTTTATTAGATATTTTTGCTATAGTGTTCGTGTACTTGCCAGAGATAGAAAGTGAGAAATCGCCCCCCACGGGGGGATGGCCACACTTCAATCCCTTCTCCTCCATTCTCCTCTCAGGATTTGGGGCACATATACAGACGCCTGGCGTGAATTTTAAGCTGCCGGGTCCGGGACTCAAACCACGGTCGACTATGTCTGAGTCGACATAATCATCACGCCATCTGCTGCTCCCAACATCTTGGACTTTGTAAAGTCACTCTACAAGTCACTTTATAAAGAGTGACTTTAAAAATAAATTTAAGGCTCATCTGGAGAACATGTTATATTTTTTTTGGAGAGATTTTCACTGTAGGGCACGTGCGCTCGCCAGAGAGACACAGAGAGACAGAAAGCGAGAAATCACCCCCCAGGGGGGATGGTCACGCTACAATCCCTTCTCCTCCATTCTTCTCTCAGATCTTGGGCACGCACGCACACGCGCCCGGCTTGAGTTTTAAGCCACCAGGTCCGGGACGCGAACTGCGGTCGACTCCGTGGGAGTCCAGCGACATAGCCATTACGCCAACTGCTGGTTCCCAAGAGAACATGTTATATTGAGAAAAGCCTCAAACATATTTGGACTATTTCTTCTAAGAGTTCTGGGTGGGGGGGAAATCAATGTTTCTACTTTCTGATGAAATCAATGTTGGAACAGAACTGGGTCAATACTTGTAAGGGTAAATTGCTTTTTAGACTATTCTGGCTTCAGGTAAATCATGTAACATGCAAAATTCTTTTCTTCCTTTTCATAAACTATAATCTTTTAGCTTCAATGCCCAGGAAGACAGAAACACCGACTGAAGTGAAAGAGACTTCTACAAAAGATGCCCTGATCAGAGCTAAGTAACCTGCTGGAATTTTCATCATTTCTGGTGAGTGTAATTCAGGACCAAGTCTATGCTTCTATCTATGTTTTAAAATTTAACTGCCCATATAATCTTAAGATCAAAATTTTACAAATTTCACTTACATATTTGTATATATGCAACAGATATATTCAAAGAATATTCACTTGCAGTCTTTTGTGTTATAGCAAATGTTAGGTATAATGTAAACATCCCTCAACAAGGAAAGGCATAGATTTAGGAAAACCTATTCGTCTAAGGTCATAAATATGCACTCACTGAAAAGAACAAGGTATATCTGAATGTACTGTGCCATAGTACCATCTCCAAGATGAAAAGAAAGTGAAAAATGATACACAAAATATGCTTCTATTTGTATCTTTTTGTTAAAAAAGAAAAAAAAAAATAGAGGGTAGAAAGGCCAGCAGGTGGGGTAGTGGTTATATCTCCAGACTCCCACATGGCCAACCACCGTTCAAGTCCTGGACCTGGCAGCCGGAAAATCAAGCTGGGTGTGTGTGCGTGCGTGCCCAAGAGCCCAGGAGGGGAATGGAGAAGGGACTGCAGTGTGGCCAGCTCACTTTCTCTCTTACTGTCTCAGTCTCTCTCTTTCTCTGCCTAGTGCACACGTTCTATGGCAAAAACCGCTTTAAAAAATAGAAAAAGGAGAGCGGGCAGGAAACTTACACATGTGTGTTTGTGCGTGCAGAGTATCTCTGGTAAGAGGTTTTCAGAGGCAAAGCAACAGTGACTAGTATGGAGTACACACCTTGGAACAACTGAGGTTTTATTTCAACCGAGTGTACATAATACCTATTGAAAAGATTTCTTTAATTAAAGCTCAAACACTTTTACAAGCTTTTCCAGAGACCAAACATTTACTCCTAAAACGTCAGTAGATGTTTTCCTTCAAGAGAAGGGTTAGAAACTGGCAGTAATCCACTGCCAGCCCCCGAAGTCGTGGTGGCTATGAACACAGCACCTGACTTCGAAGAGCTTGAGGGCAGCATCAAGGAATGCTTTGAGCCTTTCTCTTTTTCCCTTTGGTTTTCTGTGTCTGCTCTTCATCATCCACTTCATCTTCCTTCACTAATTCATTTACATCATCTTCACTATACTCTCCACCTGCAATCACATAACAGGGCAGTCAGACAGGAATAACGATTTTCACATAAAGATGAGACATTTCCTTAAGAAGAAAAATCAGTACTTTTTATTCTTCACCTAACTATAATAAAGCATCATTTCCTTAGGGAAGTCATCCCTACTCCTGAAGACAGCTAAGTTCCCCTCCCCTAGGTCTCTAGAACAGTCCCTATTTCTGCTCCACAGTTCACCCCATTTATATTTAAAGCCTGCAATCTCTGCTGTGCTCTACACTCATGAGGATATGGACCCTGCTTGTATTGATTTTTAAGTATTCGCTGAGTGAATGAATGAATGAATGAACGGAAACTCTAATTCGACTAATACATTTCTCAAAAAAGACACTAGTATTCCCATATCCTCTTGGGTATCTTCCAAAAGTAATCAAAAGATACCAGTTGCAGCTAGATCCCACATGGCTGACCTTGGTTCAAATCTCAGCCCTTGAAAAATATGCCTGGTGCAGGAACAGCAGTTGGTATAATGGCTATGTCGCTGGACTCCCATGTAGCCAACTGTGGTTTGAGTCCTGGACCCAGTGGCTTAAACTCAGGCCGGGTGCATGCATGCATGCTCAAGATCCCGAAGGGAGAATGGAGGAGAAGGGATTGAGGTATGGCCAACCCCCAGGGGGGTGATTTCTCATTTTCTGTCTCTCTGTCTCTGTCTCTCTGGCGAGCACACGCACCCTTTAGCAAAATCCTCTCAAAAAAAAGATATCTTGTCTTTTCATTAAGAGAGAAATCTAAAGACTTCCAGTTGAACATAGCAGGAAGAATAAACGCACCTACGTCCCATTTTCAGACACCAACATTCAAGGGTTCCCAATAAAAGGTGTTGCCTAGTCTGACAACACTCTAGGGAACAGCCAATAAACCAATCCTGCCTGCACAAAGACCCAACTAGCTTTTTTTCTCTTTTATTTCATGTAAACTTATTTTTGAAGTACAAAAAACACAAAAATCCACTGCATAGCTTATGAAATGATACCTGGTGGGGATATAGACCCTACAGAAATCAGGAGCTTAAGTGACCAGCATGGCTAAGGCTTGCAGTAGTGTTGATCTTTCCTTAATTAGCTTATTTCTGCTTACTATTCAGACTGATTAAACTGTATTTCTATAGCTGATAAACTCAGAAGAAGAAAAAGAAAGCAGCAAAGCACATGGGAATGTCTGAGTGCTACTAATCTAGTTCTTAAACTGGTTGGTAGATACTTGAGTATTCATTTGATTATTATTCTTTCAGCTATATGTGTGGGCCAGCCTCTGAGCCCAGCAGTTAAGTCCTGTGCTCAGAAAGCCAGATCCCACATGGCTGACCTTGGTTCAAATCCTAGCCCTGGGGACAACTTGAAAAATATGCCTGGTGCAGGACCAGCGGCTGGTGAAACGGCTATGTTGCTGGACTCCCACGTAGCCGACCATGGTGCAAGTGCCAGACCTGGTGGCTTAAACTCACGCCAGGCGTGTGTGAGTACCCAAGATCCCAAGAGAAGAATGGAGGAGAGGGGATTGTGGCCTAGCCATCCCCCCTGGGGGGTGATTTCTCGCTTTCTGTCTGTCTCTGTCTTTCTGGCGAGCGCACACGCCCTACAATAAAAATCCCTCCAAAAAAAAGAAAAAACTAAAATATATTGAATCAATAAAAACCTGTGAGCACTTTACATATTTTTTAAAAAGATAGAAAACATAATTTTAAGATATAATTTTTTAAAAACCATTTTAAGCTTCTTCTTTTTTTTTTTTTTAA